TTTATATTTTTGGGGTTTTCCCCATACCAAAACATTAATGTAGCCATTTTTGCTTCTACATGTATCAGTTAGTTAATCTGCAACTCCGCAACTCCGTCATAACAAATTGACAGAATTCAACTATACTTACACAGATTCTTCTTCAGGACAAGATGATGTGAACCTGCTATTTTTTTTTTTGATCTGTGTGATTTATTGGGTACCTGAACCAAAATATGGACTCTTCCATTCCTCCTTGTATTGTTTGGAGGTTATTGTACAAATGTTAAGGAATATTGTCCCTTGCAGTATATCATATTGCATGAGTTTGTTAATTGTTAATCTTTGTTCAATTACATATTAGTACCTTCTGCTTCATTATTTTACTAAGGAGAGCCAACCTAAAATGATTTTACAAGCAATTGATTGTTTTTAAAAGACTATGGGATTGTCTTTTGCAGCAAATATGCAGTTTAATAAGAAGATATTTATTTCAAGTTTTTAATGTATAATCTGGTGACATTTAAATAGTGGAACCTTCATCTTAATTAATTATACATGTACAATGTTGAAATGGTTTTATCATTACAGACACAGTGGTTTTGTACTGATGTGATGAATATTTTATTGTTTCTTGATGAAAACACAGACGTTTTATGTTTAATTATTCATTCTAGTAATATAAAGTTATATATCTGTCTTCTGTAACCGTCCATGTTCACTTGAACTGAAAGTGGAAGAGAAATTTAGTGTAATTCCTGGGTGAAGATTAACTGTTCAACAAAATACATTTTCTCCGGCAGAATTGATTAAAAACCAAAATATCAAGTATCCATGGAAATTGGTACCCACAAATATAGATGAATCCACAGTATTACAGCACAGATCTGTTGTCTGTTTACAGTTTCCAGACCAACCCTAAGTCATTTAAATTATGTCGTAAAGAGAAAAAATAACTTAACTTGTGTCAAAAGCAAAGATAGAGTTGGCAATAAATTTAATCAATTGCCTGATACATGCCAATGTTCACAATCTTGAATATGACAGCTGTTTTAAAGAAACTTGCGACACGTGTGATGAATAAAACACTTTGCCGCCAGTTTTTTCCAACCAATAACCAATGGAAAAAATACAATCATTAAAAATACGGGTGAACTCGGCCCATGGACACCTTGGACCACAGCAATACAGACCGCACCACTCAAAATCATGTCGCAAAAAATAAAATGAAAAATATAAATAAATAAAATGGAAATACTGACCTACCTACCCTTTTTCTTTTTTACAATGTAACCTTAAACAGACATATATTTTTTTTTTGGCCTGAGCCATTGGACTTTTACTTTGCTGCAACTTTGAAAATCCATTTATTCATGTAAAATTAAATCTATAATGGTCTTGAGTAGATAATGGATGGTTGTAAAATTCACTTCATTTAGACAAAGTTTATTTTTATAAAAAAAAGTTAAGATTAAGAGAACATCAGGTTGAGCATCTGTCAGGATTGAGTTGACATTTGAGAATCTGTAGTAGAATTAAGGGCTGACTCAGTCTTTACGCTATGTCTGAATAAATATATATATATATATATATAAAGGAGATTTAAAGGTCCAGTTGCATTGGTCAGGTAGAATATTCCTTATAATGATCATTAGTAATAGTTCCATATCATAAATGGTTGTCTAGACAGTGTCAAATTAAATCAGAATTACTTAGAAAAAAAAGTACATGAAAAGTGCCTGCATAAAACTCCATACAGATTCTCTATTACAAATGAAAATTCATTGTTTTGCTTTGAGAATTTTCATTTTAATTGACAGGAGACATTAATTGTCAAACTTAGAAACCACAAGAATAGTATAATTGAATAAGGTGTGGAGATAGTTTGTAAGGTATTAAATGCCTTGAATGAATTATTGAATTACAGCTTATATTGGTGCATTGTGTGTATTGTTTTTATGTTTGTTGATTTTTTGTGCTTCGTACTGATCTATTGAGTTAAGCTATTTACAACTGGTTTCGACAGTTTGTTCTCATGTTGTGCTGTAACATCACTGTCCTAGGTAAGGGGAGTGTAAGATGGGAGGATTTCTATGTCAGCAGGTAGTACTTAGTGAGGATTCTTCGTCAATTTGTTTTGTTAGTCTCTGTTAGATATATGCACTACTTGTCTAAACTCTAGATGATGTCAAGAACATATATTGTATATATTGTTAAAGACTGTATGTTGCCCTGTAGATAGTCTTGTCCTGCCCTTAGCAAATGTTGATGAAGCAAGACTTCCTTAATAGCTTACCTCTCTATGATACAGATACCAAGACAATTTTTATCTTTGTATGATACTCAGTAAATTTGGTTAAGCTGTTGGCAAAATTGAACTGTAATTCAGCAATTTCCTAATTATACATTGTTACATTGTAAATTGATCAGTTAATAAACCCTTACAGTTCTCATTTCAAATACATTAAAAAGTCAGGAAATTCCCATTAAAACTTGCAAGAACTGCTATTTTCACAAGTTGAATTCAATTTGCTTTCCATTTTTGGTGAAAATTTAATATACTTCCTGTTTCCCTCATTTTATACAATAAATTATTGGGGTTTATGACTCTTTAAACTCTTTATTATGTAACATGTTTCTACAAGGACTATATAGGGATAGGGTGTGTTACATATCTGTTGTAAAAGTGTTGAGTGAAGAGATGTTATAATTGTTTATCTCAATATTGGATAGGCAATAAATGTACTTAAACCTCTGTAAGTATTATATATAGGACATTTAGAGCTAAAATTTGTTCCTATATGATGGATTTATTTAGGTAAGATATATCTCAAGATGTTGAAATTTTTTATTGGAATCGTTTTGTTACCATTTAAGGTTGAAACATACCATGGGAGAACTGGTGTAGTTTGTTATGGTCTTTTGGATATTCCAACATTTGTGTTATTTAGTAAAATATTGGTAACATAAATAAAATTAAGGAGATGTGGTATGATTGCCAATGAGACAAACACACCAGAAACCAAATGAAGTGGATGTAAGCAACTATATTTCACCATACAGCCTTCAACAATGTGCCAAAAGGAAGATTATAGTTATGTAGTATACTGCCCTATTCCACTGGACATTAAGCAACCAACAATCAATCAATCATATTGCACTTAAAATAGTCTTGAATTACAGATTCAGTAGATACAGCCTTGTAATTTAGGATGCGAATCAAACAACATTGTAGGAAAATCAATTGTAATTTTGTCATTAATCAAGTTATTCTTTTTTAATTGTGGTAATTTTCCATGCTAGGTTTTTCTTTAATAATCTTCATCTGATTGTCCTGTGTGTTATTTTTTCTGCAATTATATTAAATTATCAATCTTGGAACTATATCACCATGCATGAAAGATTTATTGATTTTTATGAAACATATTTATCTTAATAATGCCATTAATAAGTTTAGTATGCATCATAAATTTGGGTTTTTCAAAAGATTTTATACTGGTCAATAAATAAATGTTTAATGATTGCTGGGATCTCATTGGGATATTTTGATGGGTAAACGGACAGAAAGTCACAGGACAAAAAGTCACAGGACATAAAGTCACAAATTTGATAGGACAAAAAGTCACAGGACAAAAAGTCACAAATAGTTTGTTGACAATTGTTTGAATATATAAGAGAAAGATCTTGAAATATTTTCTTTTTATTACATATATTCATTTTTAAGTTTAGGAAATTGTTCATAAGCCTTGATAAATGAAAATTTATTAAATTTTATCGTGCAAAGGATATATTTCTTGGCACCATGAAGCCATTTAAGGATCAAGCCTCTTTGACATTTTGTTTTCATAGCAATTATTTGATCATTATTAATATTTATTGCATAAATTTTAATTACAAAGTTGCTTTAAAAATAATAGTTTGAAAAAAAAAAAAAAAAATTTCTTGTGACTTTTAGTCCGTGACTTTTTGTCCGTGACTTTTTGTCCTGTGACTTTCTGTCCTACATTCATTTTGATGCAATAGGAAAAATGTTAATTACCTTTTATAGCAGATGACAATGATTGAGTCGTATATTTTAAAATTCTACACATTTTTGGGGTTGATATTTCTGAATAAAAGAATAATTATAAAGGGTTGGCATCAAACAGTCAGCTACCCAACAGTACATAAAAATTAAAAAAAAATAAACATGCTGTCTTGAATAATAGACATGTGTCTATATGACATATCAAGCTGTAAATCTAATTTAGATGGCAACATAATATTTTGTCTTTATTTGGCATCAAACTTTGTGCCTTAAAAACAATTGAAACCTCTAATGAATGGGTTTAAAATGAGACTGACCATGGTATATATTTAGTCTGGTTGTTCCAAATGTTATAAAGAGTCTTTTTAATCTAAAGAACCCTCTTCGGCTATACAAATGAAGCAGAACCAGTTGTATATATATAGACTCTGATATTTATAGAAATACTGATTTGATATTTACTCTCAATTCCAAAAAACTTAATTATATATGCATTATAAGTGGTTTATTACTACAATGATGTGAAGTGTGTTCCCTTTGGAATTTCTACACCACGATATGGTTGTTGACCCTGATATTAGTGAGATATGTATAAAAATCTTCTTTAGAACAGCTAAACCTATAGGAATTTAATATGGTGTGAAGATTTCATATGAGACATTAACCAAGGGTATTATTATGGTAAGTTACACATTGCTATGGTACTTAGTACTTCTATTGATGGAACCTACAGGAAACATAGTTTCATAAGAATTTGATCATTGATAAACTAACATATCCTATGAAAGACTTGAGAAAGATACAGGCTGACATCTATTATCTACGTATCTGAAATAATTATAGGTTTTTATTAACAGTGACAGATGTTACCAAGTATTCCAAATAAGCTTAGGCCAACCTCTTCTTTTTGTTTGATAGTATGTTTTGCACAAATAGACTTCACAGATTATAATTGATAACTTAAGCTAATCTCTGTTTTTTTTTATACTTGCAGTTTGGTATGGATGCATTTGAAGAATCCATTAAGCTATTAAAAAAGATAGAAGATAAATTAAAGCAGTTCAGTTCTCCAAGTGATGATTTGTATATCATGCTACATAGAATCACGTCCAGTTTAATCGAGACTTTGGCTCATCAGGACAACTTATTTGAATCTTGGGCAGCCAGCAAGATGTCAAATGAAAAACCTACTGACCAGGAGACCTTGGATACACAGTTAGGCTGGAATAGTAGCCATGACAGTATGGTATCTACTGAGGACAATAATGCAATGACAGAAAACACCAGCTTCATTGCAACACACAGTAGCTGGTTGAATAACAGCAATGGTGTTAAAGACAACAACTACTCGTTACCTTCTGATGACAGTTTATCTCCTGACATGGGGTTGGTACACAAACTTCATGAAGAACAGATAAGAAGGATGCACAGAAATTATTTAGAGGCTGTCATACAAGTTCATCATTCTCTATTACAGGTAATGTGTAATGATGGTTTAAAAAAACTCAAAAGGTTCTTTTGTCGCACAAGTTCAATTGGTTAGAACAAAAGGTCTAGTACTTGTGATCTGAAAGCCCATTAATGACAAGGGACTGGAAATGTACTAGTTGTCATGGTTTGCACTGTAAAATGGGATACAGCCTCAAACACCCAGTTTATGCTATCTTTTAACATTCTTGTTGATAATTCAAGTACTATTGACTCTGTGTATGAATATGCATGTTAGATTTGCCACTGTACATTAAATAGCATCCATGCATTCATCCATCAAAATAAATCTGAAAAATCTCTACTGTAAAATCTGTGTATATTTTATTACATATATTTATAAAATGGATGTCAATTTTTTACATGACCTAAATGGATTTATTTCATGCCCATATAAATGTATTATATTCTGTAGAAGAAGCTGTTACCATTCATTATCGCATTGTACTTTTCTTCACATCTGTTGCTAATCGGCATTAAAATACAGATTTAAATGATAATCATCATATGCTTGTCGTATTTTACAGAGTCCTTCGTGGCCATTAAAACATGTTCACAGTCGTTTATTATTTTAAATAAGTTTCTATCTTCCTTTCATCAGTATATATTGATTAGTTGAAATGAAGTTAAAAATCTTTTTCTCTGAGTTAATTTTGGTCATCAATTTTTCCTTTGTAAGCATTGAGAGGGGATAATTATTCATGAAATCAATAGGCCACAATAGTTACTTATACGTTGGCAAATTATTGCTGCTAATTGATAATCAACTCCCGGCAACAGTTGTTCTATTGTTTAGGTGTTTATATGCATCATTGAAAAGTTCCAGTTTGTGAAATTTATTAACATTCATTCATTTTCTGATCAGTTAAATCTTGATAAAAATCCCGTTCATGATATTTGATGGGATATTTTTATTTGTATTACATGAGAAATGTTTGTTTTTCTGTTCAGTTGAGTAATGATTGGTTTACTGTGAGTATTTGAAGTCCAGTTCAATATCAAATATGACAAAGAGAGTTTTCATCCAGGATTTTCCCAAGTATGGGGAGTATTTAGTCCTATAGAAAAACAGCTTTCCAGGCATATTTAACATTGATGTTTTATCTAATGAAGTTTTGTAACTAAGAAATCTATATTGACATATTTCTTTGGAAATTATTAAAAAGATGATCGAGAAGTTGTTAGATGGATTATAAACTTTTCAGAAGAATTCTAATTCATCAGCATGGTATGTTTGAAACCTTTTTTGTTAAGATTGTTTTGGTTTTTTGAAATCTAAAACTTTTCGTGTATTGAGAAAAAAGTATGAATCAAGTTTAAATGCATTTTTATCTTTATATAGAATTAAAGTCAGCTTAAAAAAATATGAATAAGATAAAATTATTTTTTAGAACCTGTGTAATTGCATGTTTTTTCAACCTAAACAAATTTTTATAGTGACATCTGTATTATGAATTTGCAACTGGTATTTCCTAACTTACTTTTAATCCCTCTAAAGTAATGTTATAAACGTTAGTTTTGTCAGTTAAGTGGACTTTCCGAGTGCACATTAGCAAGTGTAATTATGCAATTAAAATTTTTACAAAGATGGTTGGCTTTATCATGTGTGTGACCACACTTTTTATTGCTCTCAGTTGATGTTAGATGTTGCTTTATTATGGAGTGATGTAGAATTGACACTTTTCTCCGCACTGCCACAACAGATTACACTAGATCTACGTTTTCAGTATAGATTTTGCATAATTGATTTGATGTGCTAGATAGATTTGATGTATTTAGGGTAAAACTCATTTCTCTTTGGTCTAGACTGTGCCTTTATTAAACAACAGTTTAATTTATTTCTTCTTGGAATAACCTCTAAGGTTTCATGTAATGATAGGAATCATATTTTAGTGTATTTTAGAAATAATGATTTATGCGACTCAAGGTTCAAATCATTTCAGACTGGTCTATTTGTTAAAGTACAAGTTATTGTTGCTCTAAGAAATGGAATATACATCAGTGGTTGTTATTATACTTTTTGGACCAATCAATAATGCACTTGAAAGAATGACTTGAAGTCTTGGTTTCAATTTTTTTCAAAATTTGAAAACAGCAGACATATCAGACCATTGACAATCTTTGACTTCTAAACTTCTACTTTGTAGAGAGAGATGACCTTCCACACATGCAGCGAAGGAGAACTGATAAAAACTTCAAAGTTCATAACAACAAAAGCTGTGAGATACAGACTCCATGATAGACCTGTGTTAGAAATCAGCCAATCAAAGATTGTTTTACCTCAGAAGATGGACCTAGTTTTAAAGACGGAGAGTTTTGATAAGCTAAATGGAGACATATTTTTACCCAGTCAGAATTGTTATCAAGTTCATATGACAAAATATAACTTTAATCCATATTCCTATAACAGAGAAGAAAAAGATAAGGTGAGACTACAAAGATTAGATAATTATAAGTCATTTATTCCAAGTTATATGTGGGTTTTGAAGTATAAAATGAAGTTGCTTATAAATAACACAAATTCAAGAAAAGAAATAAATATGCAGTAAAAAAAAAAAAATTTATACATTCAATCTGAACCAAAGATTGCGTTACTACTAGGTTATTGTTCATTATTGTAGAGAAAGTAATGCGATGCTAAAAGATATGCTTTTGATATATCTACTGAGGAATAATGTGTACATTAAGTAAGGGGAAATCCATTTTTTATGCCCCCACCACTCAGGAGGGGGCATTAAGTGTTACCCTTGTCCGTCCCAAAATTGGTTTCCATTCTCTAACTTTAGTTTGCCTCAACCAAATGTTATGAAACTTACACACAATGCTTATTACCACAAAATTCAGATCAAGTTCGAATATGGGCGGTGTCACTTTTACCGTTCTCGTTATTTTTTAAGTTGACCCACTAAGCAGTCAAATTACTTTGCATATCCTTATCTGTATCTACACTAATCATTTTTCTTATGGGGAAGATAAAATGATAATCTTTTTCAAGCATGATATAAAGTTTCATTTGAAACAATCTTTTTCAAGCATGATATAAAGTTTCATTTTAAACATTACTACTGAGAAAAAGTTGAAAATGAGAATGCTCATGAACTGGAAAGGATTCAGTTTTGCAAAGCCTTGCATTAATTCCCAATTAAACACTAGACTGTTAGACGGATTTTAATCAAAATTTATAGATTGATCAAAATAAGATGATTGGAGATTACGTAATATCAGACAATACAGATGATGTTAAGCTAATGAGACAATTTCTCAATGCATTGAGGAAGTGAAAATCAAATGAGCAAATAAAAGATTGAATAACTTCTAAATTTAGAAATGATAGACACAAGGGAATATGCTATACAGCTAACTTATGAAGGACTAGATCAGAATATTTATAATCCTACATTACAGTTCCTTTCTGATCTATGAAATTCATTTTCCTACTGACATGGATGAATTAAACCACTTGAATATCTGTTCTTATGTTGCAGAATTACAAAAAAAATAGTTAGCTAAGCTTTAGATAATAGTATATATGAGATGAATACTTCAAAAAAAAAAGTCCCTAGTGCAATTTCCTAAAGCAGATTCAGTAGAAATAATGCTTATATTTGTTGATTTTCAGATTCAGTCAGAAGTCTGTTCAGTAAAAATTCTTACCTGTAATGGCAGTCAAGTTGATGTACAAAACCTAGCTGATGATAATATGGTTTATCTGGAGATCCCTAGAAAAGCTGACAAGGTTGGTATTTAAAACAATTGTTCACATCTACAAAGTACATTCTACTCCAAATACTCACCACATTCAAAGATGGTCAGCTCCAACCAATCCCCAAAACAAGCTGTAAGACATCAGAGCAATCTTATTCTCAGAAGGTTCTATGAAACTAAGCTACAACTATATTTTTCTTGGGAGCTTCAAATCAGAGTTTCTTAAAATTTGGTATCAAGCTTCATGTTAGCATGCTCTACCATGTAATGGGTTTTCACATCAATCTCTCATCAATTTCTTGTTTTACAGAATGATTATATATATTCTTACACATAGATACATGAATTTTTCATCGTATTTTCAGGATTTATAAATTGGAGCTTTCTGAAATTTGGTATCAGGCTTTATGTGAGCATGCTATACCATGTGATGTGTTTGTACAACAATTGCTCATCAAATCCCTGTAAACCAATTGCATAAAATGGGGGTATCTTAACAGACATGAATTAAAAATAAAATTTGCTATGTGAGACATCACATATTATGCAGGAAACATATATCATCAATGTAGTGTTTTTCATGTACATCCATGATAACATAGACATTTTTTCCATATCTATGAAATTTCATGGAAGTATTCAATTTTTTTTCCATGGAATTCCCAAAAAATGAATTTTACTGATCATCCTGAATACTGTTAGTTATTTCAAAAGTTGCTGGAAGGTCTTTTGTGTATCAGATGTCACAACAAAAGTACAAAGATTAGAAATGACAACTTCTTGTTGCATAGATTCTTATTTAACTTGATTAAAAGAGTACATAAAGAGATTGTAAGAAAAATGGTCTCAAACTTATATGTTAACCAATCAAAAACTTTTCAAACAATACTATTCATATTGCACCAGTATCCTTTAAATTGGTCACAATTATAGAATGAGCATAGATTTCTAATTACCACAAAGGTTTTGAACTTTTTTTTTGTCTACTGTAAAGGTTACTACTTGGAGGATAAATGTCAGCATCCTTCTATTATATCACCATTTAATGGAGATGATGAGAGATTTGAAATCTCTGAACTGCAGTTACAATTGAAATCAGTCTAGAGAAGATTTAATTGTTTAAAAGCATGCAGTGATTGTATTGATTGTGAACTGACAAATCTGTTTTATTGCTGTCGTAGACACATAAATGTTGGAGCACACTTTAGTTGCAGAACCCATTTCAATTGAAAGATGTGTTTTCTAATTGTTGAGAAATTGAGATGGGCACTTTGTTTATATAACAACTTCCCATGTGACCTTATCTGTGGCGGTTTATAGTGAAATACAAATATAGTAATGTCGGGTGACTCATAACAACATAATATGATCTGACAGTTTATTAAAGTTCGTGAAAGCTAATAGATCTCTAGAGTAACTCTCTCGTGTGCGGCAAATAGTGTTTTTATACTCGTAACGAAAAGCCTTGTGTTAAACTAAATATATCAGTGTCCTGAAGGAATACATTTTCATTTAGTATTTGTGAATTGCATGTAACTTTGTAAGCTTGCATACATTTAACATGTTTAGAAGGTCCTCCAGTCATAAATTTATCTACAGCAATCCGGTTGTGGTATCTCAAAGACAACATAGCAGTAAATCAATTGAAAATTAGTTACATACAAACTGATTTTTTTTTTTTGGCCTGTTGATTTATTAATGCTTAGTTGTATATGTGTCTTTGTCTTTATAATTGCAGTATTTTCTAAGACATGGCAAAAAAGCCCTGAAAATTAATATTGTAAGCAATTCAAACATTTGATACCTATTCTTCTGTGGGATAAAAGCCTTATTCTGTTTGAATTGGCGTTTTTGCATGCACCCGTTACATTTCCCCCTGCAGCTGTAAATAACATTTTACATACTGAACAATAAGTAGGGTATGTATTTGTGAGAAATGGCTGATAGAACTAGATGTTATGCCTTTTTATAGCCATAAATGATATTTCCAGTCAGTTTCAAAATGAATTAACATCAGTTTACAGTAATCAGGAACCTTATTGAAACAACTGTGTTTAATGAAACAAATATGATTAATTTATATGTAAGGAAGTCAGGAAAATTAACATTTAAAAAGATTGATTTAAGAGAACTGTTACATTATGAGTCCTTGGAAATTACTTGCAAATGAAATATGGAAGTATTATATTAGATGTAAGAAGAAATTGAATAATCCGCAATATTGATCTTAATATCTAAGCTTAATGTAAATGCAGTGAAAACAAGAAAAATAATCAACTTTTGATATTACCAGATTTATTGGAGATCACCAATTCTGAATCTTTGTTAAAATCTTTAAAAAATTACAAATTTTTATGAATTTCTTTGCTTGCAGGGTTAACATAAAGTGAAAAATGACCCCCCTTTTTCAGTCCTCTTTCCAAGATGCTTGCCAAACTACAATCCTATGTTTGCTCTTTGTTATTAGTACATTTCTTGATGCATTGGGTATCATATTGACAGTTATAATTGATTAATGTTGTTCATTAATTCTTGTCATTGTTTACATTAAACACAGATGTGCTGTTATCATCCAGTGTCAATATTTAGTTAAAAAGGATTCAGATTTAATCCACAATTAATATTTCAGAAATCAATAATTGATCCTTGAATGTAGAAAAGTAAGGTACAGCTTTAAAAAAAATAGGGGAACTACATTGTCTGATTCCGTTTTGGATTTTTTTATATTTGTTCAGTTCGATTAAGGCTATGAGGGAAGTTGAATGAAATCTGCATCAATGTGATCTCTTCAAATGTTGTTTGATAAAAAGATATCATATGACACTGATGGCTTAATCTAGATACCCAGTCCAAATATAAAATTTCAAATATATTGAATAATTATATTTCAGTGAGTCAAATGTCCTAAAAGAAATTCCTTGCAATGTACACTGAGTATCTACTTGTGTTTTATATGCATACAGCACATCTGTTCCAAAGGCACGGCCATTTACAGAAAATCATTAGTTTGGTAAACCTTGTATCTTGTAATTTTGAGTTTCGAATACAAAAATTTTTATCATCTTTTTATACTTTTGCCCATGTACCAAGTCAAGAACTGTTGCAAGGCAAAATTTTGGTCCCTATTCAATATATCCTTATTTTCCAATGGCAGTCCAAATTTTACTGACCTTCATCCTGGACGGCCTCTTTAACTGGACTTATCTATTGTATTTGTTGTTAATTTTATATATAATATGCTATTAGTCTTTTAAATCATTTAGTCATCATAACTAGTCTTGTAGTTAAAAGGAAAAACTTTTGATTCAACTGGTTTCTACGATATCTATCAGATTACTTGTAACAATTATGTATGGTGACTTGGTTGTTTTGTTTAATTACCTTTCCAGATACAGAACTACAGAATTTATGTGGTCTGTTGTCCTTAGAGTTTTCCTTTTTATTTAAGGAACAAAAATCTTTTATTGATTGTAATTAAAGTCAAACTGTTTTCAAGTGCAGTTATATTGTTTCCAATTAAAAAAGTCTTTTATTGGTCCTCTTTAAGATGAAATCACTCTGCACTTACTGACACAAAACATACAATAGTTGTACTGATTGTGTCCCCAAGCTACGGACTTCCATTTCAAAGATAGATGCTGGGCTTATTTGAAATGATTTAGTGTCTAGCAGCTACACATATGTTGACAATAAAGGATATTCGATCATCTGAAGTTGTTTATTACTTTATAACAAAGATGGCATTTCTTGATGTTGTAGACTGAAAATGGAATCACAAGATCAAGAATGCAAGGATTTGTAAAACTTTGACTGGTTACAAAAATGAATAGATGAAAAAGCAAAATTCAGTATTCATGTCTTGAAATATTAGGTAGAGAATTTTTTTAACACTTAAATGTCTCTCTGTTTTCAGATAGATATGATTAGTTTTCACCAATTGGAGAAGTCAGTTATGAATATTCATGGCTTTAATGTGAGCCTCTCTGATCGAAATAACTCATTAAATCTGGATGTTGAATTAGTACCAGTAACAGAGGGTAGACTGTTTACCATTGCAGTTTTGATAAAGTGAGTATATTCAGGTTTGGATATTAGATACTAAGGAAGAAGACAATAGGTTCGCTTATAAACTTTGATTTCATTTCATCAGAATCGGGAAAATCAAAGGAAACTATAATTTCTCTTTCATGTGTGTTGTCATGCAATTAATTGATCTGTTTTATGTAACATATTGCTCTTTTGATCAAAAGTGATGGGATAAACTAAATAAAAATACATGTACTGAATTTGCTTTTTTGAAGAATTTCCGTTTTTCATATAAGTTTGTTAAGTAGTACAATCTTCTAAATACATGAAAGCCCAAGTCATGAAGTTCATTTTGTGATATACATTTGGGAATACCATTACTGAAATTAACCACCTTTCATGGAATCCTTCTCTGAGATGGAGTTTGCATGACAAGAATAAATTGATCTTCCCACATTAAATCTTGCCACAATCAATTATTAACAAATGTAGTACCAAAATACTATTTTATAAAGAACAACATTTTGGTTTTTTTTTTAGCATTTCAGTTTTGTTAAAAAATGAATTTTATATTTAATAACGATTTTAAAATTTGTTCAAGTTTGATCTTTCCTGATAATAAATTGTTGTGATGATTGATCAGTTGATATTTTTTTTTATGGATACAAAATGTTTATAAAAGAGTAGAATTAGTATTGTTTCAATTCATCAAAAGTTCACATAAACTTCACAGTAATTCAATTGTACTTTTGTCGGCTTCCACGTTTGTGACTGCACATATCACATGCAACATTACACTCAATCATCAGTTTAAAATAAAAAATATAGATTTCTTTTCTGACGTAATTGAATTGACGTAAGTTTGACCTATTAATGTTTTAATTATAAGAACTGTAAAATTGAGTGATGATATAATTGATGTCAAAACCAAATTTTATGATTATAGATAGTAAAAGGTTTATTTTTAGTCATTTTCTATAATTACAACAAAAGCAGTAATTTCGAAAATTGATGGCTCAGTGTTTTTTTATGCAAGAATAAGAATTTTGAAAATAACACCTTAATGGGTGTTTGTAGCTTGATTGTACATTAAAAAACAATTATTTTGATGAGAGCCTTTTTTTAGGCCATTGTTAGTACTTTATAGCAACAGAATTATGTTATGCTGTAAGGTGAAATAAGAAAATAATTTGAAGATAATGGTGAAAATATGTTTCACAAATGAGTTGCATATAGTTAAAGCACTTTTCCTTTTCATTTGGTTCTTTTCAACTTCTAATCTGATGTTTAATTCTGCTATTTATTCTTTGATCAGATTGATCGGTAAAATGAATGTAATGTAATTTTATCAGCATGTTTTCTCTGTTACTAAGACAATGTCTCCTTCAGAAGATAAACTGGTATTTTGTTGAAATAAAGTATTCATCAGTCAATACCTTAGTGGCAATTTTTAAAAGTAAAATTATAGGAATCTCAATTTATGAATTCTCTAGAAGGTTTATGAATAGGTATATCTGTATTTATTTTACCACTCCTAAATAATTACAAACAATATATTGTTCAATGTTTAATTTACCTGGTTATATACTTAGAAGGATAACTGCTAATACATTTTTTACAAGCATAATCAAAAGACAGACATGATCTTATATGTTTTCCTCATCTCTTCATATTTTTGTTCTGTTGAAAATCGTTTTTAGGCGAAGGTATCTGACCATCTGTGTTGTGACTGACAACTTGTCTAGATTCTGAATGAACTTGCCAAACAATGTATCATGTTTTCATTATGGAAGACCATTCTGACATTTTGGTTTGTGTTGTGGAGTTGTTGTCTTATTGATATTACCTGGCAACCTTGTTAATGGCTTTATTGATTTGATCCTTTTATCGATTTCTTTATTGATTTCTTCTGTTTTACTTGTGGTTTGTTTGTTCACAATGGTTTCCTGATTCCCTCCTTTATTGATTAGGGCGGCGCCGAATGGCGGACGCCCTATAGTGATCAGTCTGTCCATCCGTCCGTCTGCCTGTCTGTCTGTCTGTCCGTCCGTAACAAATTGTGTCCGCTCTATATCTAGAGAACCGTTATGATTTCAAAGTTTATACTTGACGTGTATATTAACCAACACCAGAGGGTGTGTCATAAAGTATGTACAACTTCCTAGGTCAAAGGTCAAGGTAAAAAATTTTGGTTTTAGATGACAACCCCATGTCCTATAGTAAAGATCGTGTCCGCTCTATATCTTGAGAACCGTTATGATTTCAAAGTTTATACTTGACATTGTATAAACCAACACCAGAGGGTGTGTCATAATGTATGTACAACTTCTTAGGTCAAACTCTATATCTAGAGAACCGTTATGATTTCAAAGTTTATACTTGACATGTATACTAACCAACACCAGAGGGTGTGTCATAAAGTATGTACAACTTCCTAGGTCAAAGGTCAAGGTCAAAAATTTTGGTTTTAGATGACAACCCCATGTTCTATTGTAAAGATCGTGTCCGCTCTATATCTTGAGAACCGTTATGATTTCAAAGTTTATACTTGACATTGTATAAACCAACACCAGAGGGTGTGTCATAATGTATGTACAACTTCCTAGGTCAAAGGTTAAGGTCAAAAACTGGTTTTAGTTGATAACCCCATGTCCTTGGGTAAAGATCGTGTCCGCTCTATATCTTGAGAACCGTTACGATTTCAAAGTTTATACTTGATATGTATATAAACCAACACCAAAGGGTGTGTCATAGTTTATGTACAACTTCCTAGGTCAAAGGTCAAGGTCATAAACTTCGGTTTCAGTTGACAACCCCATGTCCAATAATAAAGACAAATTTTTTACCACACATTATTCACAGCAGGGCCCACAGAGATGGCTCCCTTCTCAATGATATCTAGTTTCTTCTGTTTTACTTGTGGTTTGTTTGTTCTCCATGGTCTCCTGTTCCCTTCTTTATTGATTTCTTCTGTTATACTTGTGGTTTGTTTGTTCTCCATGGTCTCCTGGTTGCCTTCTTTATTGATTTCTTCTGTTTAACTTGTGGTTTGTTTGTTCTCCATTGTCTCCTGGTTCCCTCCTTTATCAATTGGATAATATCATTGATTTCTTCTGGTTTTTGCTCTCTTAGTTTGTTCACCAAGTTTCTGTTTTTGTTAGATCTGAAATTTGACATGACTCAAATAAAACCATTGAACAGTGAATCTCATCTAACAATGCAATGTCAATTTTTCCAATGTGCATCTGTACATCCAACTTATGGCTGAATTTATACTGGCATTTAAGTATTTGTTGTGATTTCCTTTGTAGAATAACAAAAGAACTCTGTAATGCATTATTACCTCAAAACTAATGCAAGCCATTTGCATAGATATTTTCTTCCTTATTCTCAGCTTTAATGTTTAAAATCACTTATTACTAAAGAACTTAAAAACTTATGTAAATGTATTATTGAAAAAAAATGTTTACTGTTTCATGAAATTATTTCATGCAAATGTTTTCCAATTATGAAGTATAATCAAAATTAAGGTTCCACTTTGCCATGCAAATCCAGGGGAAAAAAAGAATGCCAATGAATCTGAATAAAATCAGAGGAAGAATATGTGTTTAGTTTTCTAGTTACACATGATTTGTGGTATAGTGTTGGAAAAGAAATATTTCATAGAATTGCATTGATTCTGTATGATATGGTATATGATTTTGTATGGAACAAAATTTATAACATTTCATTGATTGAAGCATCTCCTTACAACTCCATGATGTAGTCGCTACAGGATTGTCTCTTAACTTACAAATAGTTATTTTCAATTGGTTATTTTTTATCCTAGCATAACTGTTAAGATTATTTGTCTGTATATTGAACATTGTGATAGCCATGATATTTAATCTAGGACTAGAAAAAAAACAAACAGAAGGATATTCAAGTGCTCTGGAAAAAAAAGTTGTAAAAAATTTGCTAATGTAGCAAAAATACTTGGAAGGTTTTGTTTTGTGCCTGTCTTTAGGACAGACTTGACACTTTCTAGATGTTAGAATGGTTGGGGAAGTTGTCATTTATTTACCTTATGGTTTTAAATGTTTTTTGTTGTTGTGTCATTACTTGTTAGTTGGGTATGCCTGAAATTTTCGCTCAGACCTGTCTTAATCCCAAGGTGAGCAAAGTTTCAGGTGTATTTAATTGACAAATTTACCTCACCTGAAGTTGATGGATGCTGGTCTAGATCAACATGTTTTATAAATGTTTGTTTTTATTGTTACAAGGGACTTGTTATTGTTTCTATAGTGCCACTCAGTTTGGTATCCTGGAAGGTTATGGTTTAAGTTTCACGTTAGATAGTTGCTAGTTTTCCTATCCTGTCTCAGGTTTTTCTAAGATCCATTCAGAGTATTGTGTTATTAAGGAGTAATTTTGATTGAGCATGCAGATATAATAGGAAAACATTTAAGTTGATTTGAATATAAAACAGAATTGTCTCATTGTCAAGCTCTGATTGATCCTGGAATTCCTCAAGAAATCCAGCCTTTTGATCGATTTAGAGGTTACCAATTATATTAATAAAAGCTTTTTATCTCTCTTCTCTTTGGGAAATAAAATGTATCTTTAAGAATATGATATAAATCCTCAAGGCAATAATATTAATCATTCTGCAGAGTTATATGGGGAAGGAATCAATTGCTTATTAATTGTGTCTTGTTAAAGAAATGTCCCCAGATTTATATCTCTGTTGATTAATTGTGAGGTGTGATAACCTTCCCTGCAGGACAGTCAAAGAGGGTCGGCATAGGGTAATTTATTCTAATAAAGGAATGTTCTGAGATTTGTTTGTTTATTGATCAATTGTGATATATTGTTATCTTAAACGGATAGTAGCTACGATTTTCATTAAAATTATTTTTCTAATCTATATGCCGGATTTTGTACAAAAGGTTTATTTAGAATGAATAAAACCATCACTGTTTACTTTCCAATTAGCATTTAGAAGCTTTTTAACGTTTTACACCTAAATTTAATTCTTGTCTATAGACAAAAATTCGATGTTAAGCCAACCCTTATTCATATGACCTATGTTGACCTTAACTCCGCAGTTCCCAATGCGCAATCGCAAGTTGTCCCTCGAAGGGAAAATGTCGAACAGAGGAATGTTATCGCGGAAATGGAACGTGTGTTTACAGTTTCTGCGAGAAAAAGAAACAGTTAAGAGGTGCAGACAAGTTATTGTAAATTGAAAATAAATAACGGCGATGAGATCGGTCATTAGAATCATTTACAAACACCCGTCACGCAGATAAAGTCATTATATAAGCAGTCGACATTACGACGGTTTGCGAAATGTAAAAAACATTTCTGAACTTTTCGAATCCAGATCACATGAAAATAAATCGCGACGTGTTCAAATCATTATTGTCCAGAATATTTTTATAAATTTAAGAGCAGTGATCTCACAACTTAGAAGACATTAAAATCAACTTCTTACAATTTAATATTATTCTTTCGGTGTACCCTGCATGAAGGCCCCAATTCAATTCACAAACACGTGTATACGTTATCGGCATTGTTTTGTCATACAAATATAAAACAAGTGTATAATATCGCCATTGTTGGAGAACCTTGGGTTCGAATAATATGCAGGCATTTGGTATATTTTTTTGTTTACATAATTTGATAAATGGTTTCAAATATGTACGTTTAATCTAAAGAAATTGTCAAATACGTAAGAAAACAAAAGCACATGTTCATATTTATTTATATCTTGGTCATCTCACTCGCTGTGTCGGCAAAGTTCGGGAAGTAAACCCGATGCATAATTAATGAGATGAAAATGCACGCTACACGATATTAATTATCAATTATTAACACTTCTGTACTTTATATGAACATTCCACCGATCTTATTGTTAATTTAAAGTACATATCTTTGATTTTAGCAGCTTTAAAACTTGGTCATAATTTTGTCAAAATCGTAGCTACTATCCCTTTAACTATAGGACATTTATTTTATCTAGTCTTTGTTTTGAGTTTCGCTGATAGGTAAATGTATTCCAAATTATAAACAGTTAGTGGACTCTAAAAAGCTGATTTTATTCCAGGTATATTTTTTTATACATGGGTGAAATTATTCCATTTGATATGATGTTGATTTACGAAGCCATAAAGTCCTCTATTTGAAATGATTTGAATTAATGGTTTACTTTTCAATTAATACCTGTTTAGTCCAGTAGTTTTCTGTTCTGTAACATGGTGAATTCAGAAATTTTTGCAATGAGTTTATTATTGTGAACATTGAGAGTGGACAGGTGACGAAAAAAAGATAAAAAAAAACTTTTTTAAATTTTGATAATTGCAATAATTAATGCAAGCAAAAGATTTTAAACTGATAGTAGCAGAATTGATCTGAGTTTGTTGTATTTTTCCTTACAGTTACAACACACCACCCACTCCAAGTCAGTATATAAAGAGAGAGGTAATACAAGGCAATCATTTACAGATATTCCTTCCATCTGGATATTTGAATTGTAAGTTATTGCAAATATATTTTTGCACAGGTATTATTCAGACCTTGTGAACAGGTTGTTACAAAATACAAACATTTTCATAAAAAAGTTGTTTTCATTTCCATAATATACTTCATTAAAAAATGTAAAAAGTCTGTGGGCCAACACCGACATCTCGCTGTAATGTAGGGCACACATGAAAGCTATTCCATTACTGGCCTCAGTTATTTGTTGACTTATAAACATCTTTAAAAAGTATTGTTACTAACTAGTTGCTATTAACTGTATGGAAATGTTGCATTTATACAAGTCAAAATGACTTCTATGGTCCCCTTTTATTTCAAATTATATCAAATTCAAAGTTGACTAGCCAGAAATCAAAAGTTCTCTCAGTCAATGTTAATAGTATACTTATAGATCATCTATGGTATTTCAAACAAGAGGGGTTACTCAGCTACACGTGTTTGTTGCTGTTTTCCAAATACATTTTCTTTCTACTCGAGTGAGAAAACCCATATCACTTGAGTAGCGTGATATGGAAAATTATCAAACAGAAAGATCAAGGAAACTTTAAGAAAATAGTGATAATATCATTTACTGAATGTTTGATGTTTATTTATATTAAATTTTACTGAACAATTATCTAATTTTGTGTGAATATTTATTATACAGGACAATACTAACTTGCACTGCACGATGAAAGCATGTAGAATTAGTGACAAGTAATAAGCATGTATGAGTGGCTAGACTTCAACCGTTAGATGCAGGAGTAATACGGAGATCAAGAGCAAGATCAGAAGAAATGTATAAATGAATTTAACAGATTTTTCTGACAAATTTACAATTGTTATAATTTAAGAACTCATAACTTCCATAAATTTACGATCACACTATGCTGAAAGTTTGAAGTCATTTCTTAATTTGAGCTTTGGTAACTGAGCCAGACATCCAATATGATTTGACAAGAAATACTATTTTGACCCATAATAATGTCATAAAAATGTTGTCAGAATAAGTGGACTATTTCCCTTGTCATTAATGAAAGAAAAGGTCCATAAGATGTGTTTGGTTATTCGTGTCATTGGGTTGCTCCCACAACTATTATTCATATAAAAAAAATTAAATTGGTAGAATCTGTAAAATATTCAGTAGGAAAAATTGATAGAAAACAAATAACATCCTGATTAAATATGGGAAATAATTAATTTGTCAGAAAAGTCTGTTGCATAGAATAAATAATTTGATGAATCGGAAGTTTGATTGATTATTTATTAATTAATTATCAAGGTAAGTTAACAACAGGTAAGTGTCACAGATTGCAAACAGTTTTACTGCCATATCAATCTTTGTCAGCATTTGGAAGCTGTATATAAAGATTAAAAATTAATCATTTGATTTTTTGGGGTATAAACCTGAACCTGCATAGTTGCCATCTTGTTTGGCTGAGTCAGTCTATATTTGTCTAGCCAGTCAACAATTTGTTTTTGATTAGCATCAGCACATCTTATTTCCATGGAGATGATTTGGCCCCCACCCTCTCAGTCATGGTCTATTGACTGAATTGAAATTTTTGCATAGTTGACAAAGATCTATGTGAAATTTTTTAAGATACCATAGCAGTATTTTAGTTAAGTTTGAAAATAATTGTTGCTAAGAATTTGATCGAGTAAACATCTATTCAAGACTTAAAAACTCACAAATTTATCTGACAATGACATAGACTTCTGACCTCTTGAAGGAATTTGAGTCTAGTTATATGTTTCATAACAAGAAAGCCTCATTTATTATTTTATTGAAATTAAATATCTCAAGTCGATTTCAAGCAATATTAAATTCTCACAAGTTGTTAAACCAATTATTCTAATGACAAAAATGATAAATTCCTCGAAAATTTGTTCTTGTCTTTTACACCTAAACAGTTGTGACTTTTCAACATTTGTTGATCAACATCAGACTTTTTCAAGCTTTAGAATGAAATCAAATTTGACCAGAAGAGTAATCTTAGGTGAAACATGAAGTATTTTGTTTATTATTGAACAAATCACAAATTTCATTGCCAAGGGGGAAAAGTGGTCAATAGCCAATGTAATTGTTGCAATTTTCGTAACCTATGCAGAATAGGCGAACCAATTAATGCATTTTTCATTTCACCTTTTCATATAACACTGAGTGATACAAGAACTAGATAACAGGCCACAACCATAAGAGAATAAAAGTTAAAATAGGTACCTATGTATATCAATATCAATCAAGAGAGAATTATAAAAGACCACAAATAAATTTTGATAAAAAATAAACCAATTGTGATTCTACGTTTGTCATTTCTTCCTTGGGAATTAGTTTGGATAAGGCTACAGTTGTCAATAAATATGAGAGAAGATTTATAAAATGAATAATATGATGATTTTTATATAGTCTCCTTGTATGCTGTAACTATAAGAGTTAATTATACTCGATATCTAAAGATGTATTAGATTGCTGGTTATCTGAGGTTATCAAGACCCATTTCTTTTTAGACATTTAATTATAGTTGATATGATAGGTCATTGACCCAGGTCATTAGATATCAGAAGAAAAGGCAATTAGCCTAGTTGAATAGCTCAATGTAAACCTTTTATGACATTAGATTGCATTCTTACATAGGTCATAGTGGCTCTATCTTTTTTCTCCAAATAATTTTTGGGGTTTTATTAAACAAGAATTGTACTTTGCCATATCAAAAAGCAGAAGGAATATGAATGTGTGGGTATTTCTCAAAATACATCTGGGATTTCTATAAAGCCTTCATTTCCAAAAAGAATGACAAATTTACAATTTTCTAAGAGGGAAGTTCAATGTATAACTTTCCTATCATTTTATAAGTAAACAATAGTTGTCTTCATATGGGTTAATATTGGGAGGAGCTGCCCCTCTTAACTTGCCTCTGTCAACCTTTGATAAGATGGGCATGCTATAAATAGAATGGCTTTTGGGGTTATGTCAGCTAAAGAAACTGTGTGCAATCTGTTTGATTGTTGAAATTTGTTTTGTTTATTTCATTGTTGACTGAATTAGTTGAATATATTAGAAATAAAATATAACAGAATTATTTATTTGTTTGTTGTTTGTACTAACATGTTTGAAACATGCATGATTTTGTTAAAGGAATGCAAGCAGTGTCATAAGGACTCATTTCAAGTCAAAAATCATTATAGCTGAGGAGAGTAGATCATTTTGGCACTCAAAATATATAAATATAACATTATCAATTACTGTGGATTCAGAAATTATTGCTAGGTTTTTATTAATGCGAATAATGCGACTGTGTGAGTATCGTAATAATAAGAACTCGCATTCTGATATCTGATGCATATATCTGTATGCAACTTTTCCTGAAATCGCAAAATTTAATCTCGCATTTATGTCCATTCTTCAAAAATCGCAATAATAAATGCATGCAATAATTTCTGAATTTACAGTAGTGTAAAACAAACGAGGGTATAAAACAATAGAATTTTTTTTTTATAAAACTGGAATAAAACCAAGTTGAATAACCTGTAGTTGCTAATTTCTATGTCATTTGCTATCTGGTGGAGAGTTTAGTTCAAATGAAGTGGATGTAAGCAATTATAGGCAACTGTATGGCATTCAGCAATGAGAAAAACCCATAACGTATAGTGTCCTATAAAAGGCCCTGACACGAAAAATGTGAAAGAATTAAAACGAGAAAACCAACAGCCTAATTTATAACAAAACAATTTACAAATTCCCTTACCTGGGACAGTGGTGTAATAGCATAACATAAGAACATACTAAAAAAATCAGTAGCAATTGGCCTAACTCAAAAGATCGATGTGAGGCACAAAAGAACTAACATAAAAACAATAGACACAAAGCACCGAAATAAGAGTAATCGCAGTTACTGAAAGCCAGTTCAAAGTCAATTACAACTATTAAATAAATCATGTTCTCCCAAACATAAGTATCAGTCGGTACACATCCAACTGATTGTGTGAAGACGTCATAAACAGTCTGAGAAATGCATGACCTTATGCAATGTCAAAATATAAGTAAACTGTATTGACAGGATGTAGAATAGTATTCATTTGACAGTTCCTTAGAGGTTTGTTCTCTCCAAAAAAAAAACATGATACAAAGAAATATGGGATGAGGGATCCTACAACAAATAAAAGGGTGAAAAGAACAAACAGCTATTACTAACAATATGACTAAAAGAAGTTCATTGAGACAGCAACCATGCAAGGTTTTAGGTAAAATGAACAAATGGAGCTGACCATCAACAATGAGCAGGTGTCTACACTGAGTAGCTCTAAATTATTCAGTTTCTAGGATTTTCATTCACTGGAATCAAATATCCATTTGATATAATGGCTTTCACATATACCTTGTATATCGGAGTTCATAGGTTTAAATTCTTGCTGGTCAAACTTAGCTATTTAACTGATTTGTTGCGTCACCAAAGCATAAAACACATTATTGGAGCAAAACTGTTTTTGCTTGAGATAAGAATGTGGTGTTTGGATTTGATGTAATCAAAAAAAGGGACACTAATAAAACCATTGCAAAAAAAAAAAGACCATGATTATGCAAAACGCTGTCAACAAAATACGATATTGAAAACTGAAGATTGAGCAACATGAGCTCCAATGTTAGTTTTTAAGCATTCACACTCATTTTCTCAACTCAAAATTTTGGGCAACACAAGGCAAAACAATACCCAGAAGAAACATTGTGATATCATCATACAGTCCTTAACGACTGGCAAGTGTGTCAAACCCTAAATAACACTTAAGAAGAGACAATTTGTTCATTAATTTGACACAAGAAATCTTGACTTTGGACAGGTGCATTAATATGTTGCATGGTTGAACTAGTATTTGAGTAATCAAACATAAAAATAAGGAGATGTGGTATGATTGCCACCAAAGTTCAAATGAAGTGGATGTAAACAATTATAGGCAACCGTAAAACCTTCAACAATGAGAAAAACCCATACTGTATGGTCGGCTATAAAAGGCCCA